TTTTAAGAAGAGCTAACACCCATTCTAATCACAATGTTTCTAGAGATCCAAAAGGAAAGAACACTTCTAAATTCATTCTATGAAGCTTCCATTTACCCTGATTCCCAAAATGGATAAGGATACAACAAAAAAGGGAAACAACAGACCTATATATCTGATGAATATAGATGCAAACATTCTCAACAAGATACTTGCTAACCATATTCAACATCATGTAAAAAATGGTTATTCATCTTGACCAGGTAGGCTTTATTCCAGGGATGCAAGGGTTGTTCTACATATAAGAAACCATAAATATAATATACCATATTAACAGAAAGAAAGATAAAAATCATATGATCATTTCAATTGATGCAGAAAAAGCATTTGACAAAATACAACATCCCTTTTTGATTAAGACTCTCAGAAAAATTGGCATAGAAGGATCGTTTCTCAGCATAATAAAAGCTATCTATTAAAAACCTATAGCTAACATTATACTGAATGGGGAAAAGCAGAAAATCTTTCCACTAAAATCTTGTACAAGACAAGGGTGTCCACTTTCCCTGCTCCTATTCAATATAGTACTGAAAGTCCTCACCAAGGTGATCAGACAAGAGAAGAAAATAAAAGGCATTCCAATAACAAAAGAAGAACTAAAATGATCTGTTTGTAGATGACATGATTGTATACATAGAAGACCCAATATAACCACATTAAAAACTCCTTGAAGTAATAAATGCATACAGTAAAGTGGCAGGATACAAAATTAACTTATAAAAATCGATGACATTTCTGTATACAACCACCAAGCAGACAGAGACAGAACTGAAGAAAGTAATCACTTTTGCCATAGCCACAAGAAATATAAGAAACCTAGGAATAAAACTAACCAAGGAAGTCAAAGACCTCTATTAGGAAAACTATGAGAACCTTAAAAAGGTAAACAGAAAGGACACAAAAAGATGGAAAGACATCTTATGTTCCTGGATTGGAAGAATTAATATAATAAAAATGGCAATCCTACCCAATTTAATCTACATATTTAATACAATCCTTATAAAATTACAAGAAACATTCTTCACAGATCTTGAAAAGACAATCATAGAATTTGTTGGGAATCATAAAAGACCCCATATTGCCAATGTCATCTTGCCCAAGAAGAGTGGGGTGGGTGGCCTCTCACGCCCTGACCCCAAAATATATTACAAAACTGTGACAATCAAAACAGCATGGTATTGGCACAAAAACAGACATGAGGATCAAAGAAACAGAGCAGAGACCCCAGAAATAACCCCCCCCAAAATAGCCAACTGATCTTTTTCTTTTTTTTTATTTTTTTTGGAGAGGTTTCCGCTATAGGGCGCGTGCGCTCACCAGACAGACAGAGAGAGACACAGAGACAGAAAGCGAGAAATCACCCCCCAGTGGGGATGGTCACGCCACAATCCCTTCTCCTCCACTGTCCTCTCAGGATCTTGGGCACGCACGCACGTGCGCCCGGCGTGAGTTTTAAGCCACCGGGTCCAGGATGTGAACTGCGGTCGACTACATGGGAGTCCAGCAACATAGCCATTATGCTAACTGCTGGTTCCCGCCAGCTGAACTTTGACAAACGGTGCTAGTCAATCCAGTGGGAAAAGGAAAACCCCTTTAGCAAATGGTGCTGGAAAAACTGGGTATCCACGTGCAGAGAGATGAATCTGAACCCCTATCTGTCACCATTAGCAAAAATCAACTCAAAGTGGATCAAAGATCTAAACCTAAGACCTCAAACTATAAAACTACTGGTGGAAAACAATGGAGAAACTCTGGGAGACATTGGGGTAAGAAAAGACTTCTTAAGCAAGACCCCCAAAGCACAGGAAATAATCCCCAAAATAGACAGGTAGGATTACAGCAGATTAAGAAGTTTCTGCACAGCAAAGGACATCATAATTAGTGTGAATCAATAACCCTCAGAACAGGAGAGAATTTTGTTAACTGTGCCTCAGAAAGGGACTAATAACCAGAATACACAGGGAACTCAAGTGGCTTACCCAAAAGAAAATGATTAACCCAGTTAAAAATGGGAAAGTGAGCTGAATAAACAACTCTCTAAGGGATACATGCAAACAGCCAAAAAAGTATATGAAAAAATGTTCAACATCCTTCAGGGAGATGCAGATCAAAAACACAATGAGATACTACCTAACCCCAGTCAGAATGGCAAAGATAAAAAAAAAAAAATGATAAGTGCTGGAGGGGCTGTGGTGAAAGAAGAACACTTCTACATTGTTGGTGAGAATGTAAATTGGTCCGACCGCTGTGAACAACACAGAGGTTCCTCCAAGACCTTCAAATAGAGCTACCATATGATCCAGCAATTCCACTCCTGGGTATCTACCCAAAGGACAGGAGAATGCTCAGTTGGAAAAGCACTTTCACAATTATATCACTGCAGCATTATTTATGACTGCTAAAATATGGAACCAACCCAAATGTCCACAAACAGAAGAATGAACTGAGAAAGTTTGGCACATATACCTCATGGACTACTATTCAGCCATAAAAAAAACAACAAGGCTCTGGAATTTTATAGAAAGTCTACAAATATGGAAGATCTGTTGCTGAGTGAAGCAAGTCAGGCTATGAAAGAGAGATATTGCATAGCTCTACTTAACATATACCAACTGTCTGCACTCTACGGTAGAGACTGAAAGTCTGGAGGACATAAAAGCATTCAAAGTTGTTATGGACACTAGAGACAAAGGGGAAGGAAAAGTGTGGGAAGAGAAGAGTGCAGGAAAGGAAATCTCGGGAAAAAATAGAGAAGTAAGACATTTGTGGGACACAGGTACGGTTAATTATCTGTTGATGAGGATGTGTATAGTATTCTCAACTGGGCTGAACTGAGGTGTATATCATGCTGGGTAAAGTCTCTTTAAAATCTAAATAATGTATAGCAATTGAATGTATAAATAATAATAATAAAGAAAAAATATATAAAAATAAAAATAATAAAGTTAAGTATGTGGTATAAAAAAAGAAATTAATCCTAGAAAGCATAGTTTTTGTTTGTTTTTCCTTTTAGAATTAGTATGTCTCCCTCAGTGTGAGAATGGGAATGAAGTAACCTAACTTACTTCCTTCTTCGCCTGTTCGTCAGATTGTTCTGAGTTTAGTCATTAGTATAAGCCCTGTGTCCTTGAGCTTGACATGCTGATTCCTTCACTTCAGAGTTTTGGATTTTTATTCCTATTTTAATAGAATTATTATATACATGTGTTTTTATTATAATTCAACTTAAATATCTTGAGGAAGATATTTAAGTGTACTTTAAATAATGCATTAGAAATAATTGAATGTTTCTGATATATTGATGATTACAATAAAGCAGTAAGCCTTAGGTTCTAATAGATATTTTATGTTGAACTGCGTGTTTGCTCCTGGCTTGTCTGAAGACTATGCATTTAATTCAGGATGCTTTTAGAGCAGATGTTTTATGTTTAACATGATAACTCGGCAAATAATATGCATGTGTGTGTTTATTTTCTATTTTTGATGACTTTATCATGATCTTTCATTTGATTTTTTTATGACAACACAATAACAAGAGATGAGTAATGTATAATGTGAAATTTATTCTATTAGTAAATAAATTCAGAGCTGAACATAGATTATAGTATATAAAATTTTTATACATGCAGGGTGCGTGTGTGTGTGTGTGTGTGTGTGTGTGTGTGCCCAAAATCCAGAGAGCAGTATGGAGGAGAAGGGATTGCTGCTTGGCCATTGGCACTAGGGGGTTGATTTCTCATTTTCCCTCTCTCTCTGACCAGTATATGTGCCCTACCATATAGCAAACTGGAAAAAAAAATGTTTTTATCTTAATCTTAACTCATCAGCTAGCTTTACTTACATAAGTCTGTCATGTCATATAAGCAGGGAAGGGTAAAATTTTTTTGTGAAAAATCATGGTTGTATATATTTAAATTCAACATAATCATCTCTTGAGCACATTTTGTATTACATACTCTTAAACTGCAATTAAATAATTTGTGATGGTAATTTGTGATAAATAGTTAAACAAAGGTACACAGTTCAAGACAATGCCACTGAAATCTACCCTAGAAGAAGTTAACCATATGTATACCCAAGTGCATTTTAATCTTGAATTAATTAGTTGCTATAGCAGCTTCAATATGCATTGACTTATATGCCCTCTAAAACCTAATATTTTATTCTACAATTACATTATAATTGCTATCAGCCTTATTTCACAGAGATAAAGTAAAATACAAATAAAACACAAATACAAGGATCAGAATAAAATATATAACTTAAAAAAATCAAAACTAGCAGAAGAATTAAAAAGCAGATACTGAGATTCATCTTTGCACCGATACCAGACCTGAGCTACTAATATGGTTCTGAATATCCAGACAAAGCAAAAGTGGAAATACTGTTACTTAGAGGTGCTCATTATTTGCATAGAGGAAAAAAAATTTCCTGTCCTTTGATTTTAGTGAAATTTCTCACCTTGAATTTTATATAGGAGCCATTAAATGACTTAGGGGGCATACTATCCCTTCAGGAAATATAATAACAAGCTATTATTGGTAGATAAAAGTTTTACCTCCACTGCTATGTTAAGTGTGGAAGAAACAGAGGATACTTTTTACCAAAACACTTTTCAGTAAAAACAATTTAATAAGAGATCAAAGGAAATACAATGTAGAATATAGCTTCTTGGTGGCATAGCTTAGTCCAAGGGTTGGTTACACCTATAATATGTGTGATGAAAGACTCTTCTGCATATTAGATAGTCTCTACATTATCCCTACAAGCACCACTTTTCTCAGCAAAGGCTCTGCTGAGAGCCAGGTTACTAAACGTTTGAGGTTATATTCTTTGTCAAGAATTTAACAATTGCCTAAGAGAAGTATTCAGTGTATATGCTACTACAAAAATCTGTGTTCACTGAGATACTTACAAGATGCAGAATTACTAGTAACAATGTCTATCTTTATCTGCTGTACCTTTTCTTTTGAGTGCAGTTTCACCTTTCTTCCCTTTTCCTTCCTGAGGAGAGTCTTGCTTACCATGCGGGTGTTCTAAACAAAATTCAACACACAAATATCATGGTTGGATTTTTTTCCAATAGCCTGGCTTATATGATTTGTAAGCAAACAAATGTTACATCTCACAGACAAACATTTACAATGGTGAACAATGTAAGACTGTGAAGCTTATAAAATGGCTCAGGTCTTTGCTGGGAGTTAAGGTTAATCCGAAGACAGACTATGAATTGAAATCTCTTGAATAATAACTTTGCTAGAACCATTTTATTTTGTTGCACTAAGTGGAAAATACTAACTTTATTTTTAATTTTCAATAATTTGTTTTAATTTTGCCTGGGGGTTTGTGCACTTGCCAGGGAGACACAGAGAAAAAGAGAGAGAGGGAGAGGAAGAAAGCATTCCCAAAGGGATGTGTTTGTGCTGTGGTCCCTTCTCCTCCATATCTCTATCATTTTGGAATTTTGGGCATGCACATATATGCTCCTGGTGATTTTCAAGCCACCAAGGTTAGGACTCAAACCACAAAGTTTGTTATAGGGGATCCAGCTCTCTTAACCACAAGACCATGGGCTGGCCCCATCTTAACTTTAAAATTACATTTGGTGAATGATCGGATCATTGACTCTTCATTGGAACTAGCTGTAGAATTCTTCAAAGTGAATCATAATCCATTCAAAGCATCTGGCTGTATTTGGATTTATTTCAACTGAATCATCCTTATTAAAAAAGCAAATGGGGACAGCAGGTGGTGTAGTGGTAAAGGCACTGGAATCCCACCTGGCTGACCACAGTCGGAGCTCTGGACCCAGCGTCTTGAAAATCATGTCAGAGTGTGTGGATGTATGCCCAGGATCCGAAGACAAGAATAGAGGAGAAGGAATTGTGGCCATCCCTCCTGGGGGATGATGTCTCACTTTCTCTCTCTCTGGTGAGCACATGTGCCCTCATAACAAAAATGCAAAAAGAAAAGAGGATCTGTAATAAGAATCATGCCAAAACACTTTGAAAAAGAGTTAAATCACTATATTGTTTTGATATGGTGCATCCTTGAACTTTTCTTGCCCACACACTTTGTTGCCTTGTGGCCTCTGCAATTCCATTTTTCATTAACTAAGTACATAAGTATCTTAGATTCCCTAGAATCTAAAATATAGTGGAAGGAGGAAAATAGGAAACATTATCATGAAGTCAATAAGATAGCTCAGACAATAAATTGATTCCTTGGGAAAATTTATTACATCCTGTATTATTCACCAAACAAGTTTAATAATTTTTCTTCCTTGGTCATAGGCTATTGTTTTGTTCTTCATTGGAAGAGCAGACAAGTATGGCAATTTAAATGCCTGTGATAAAGAGATCCCATCTGAACTATTCTTGATATTTAGAAGTGATAGTTAAAAATATTTTTGAATGTATGTTATTTGTATTTAAATATGTGAGAGCTGATAAACTAGATTCCATAGAAAGAAGACAGGGGAATGACAGAGAAGGACTACCTTGGAGTTCTGTTAACCTATGTAATAGGACTTTTAGACATCCAGGTAGTTGACCACAAATAAATGAGAGTTCAAATGTTTGAATTAGTTGGTTTTCTTAGAAATAAACTTAATAATTACATCTAGAATAGTTCCTACTTTCTTTAATAAGATAGCATTGGGGGACCAGCAATTAGCATAATGGCTATGTCACTAAACGCCCACCGTAGTCGACCACGGTTCGAGTCCCGACCCGGTGGCTTAAACTAACATCGGGCACGTGTGCGTGCGTGCCCAAGATCCCAAGAGGAGAATGGAGGAGAAGGGATTGCAGTGTGGCCATCCCCCCTGGGGGGTGATTTCTCACTTTCTATCTCTCTGTCTCTCTCTGTCTGTCTGGCGAGCGCACGTGCCCTATAGCAAAACCTCTTCAAAATAAAAATAAAAATAAAAAGATAACATTGGGAAATAAAATACTTAATAGTTCTAAACTTAGTATAAAGTGACACAGAAGAGGTAAAAGGACAGTACTTATAAAATATCTTGGACAAGTCTAATATCTGTTGGGATAGCATGCACTCTTCCCTTTTAAAAAAGAATTAAAAATTAGCTCTAAAATACATTCTGAAATCTTGAAAAATACTCTTAAGTAGCAGCTTTGTTAGGGCTATTCTATTTTGTTATACTGAGAACTTGAGCTCTAAATTATATACTGACACTGGTAGTGAATTTGATGATAAACCCTTCATTAGAGTATAAGTGAAGTTTTTCAAGTTTAATCTCAAAAGTTATTGAGGCAAATATAAAATGCAGAACTATATAATATGTAAAACTGTATTTAGACAAAATGAATGCTAGCACTGTATACACTATGTCTCCTCTACTCAATTTTCCACTGATTTAATTTTTAATTAAATACATTCTTTCTTCATCTCAACTTCTACAGAAGAGTGTAATTGGACATCTGAGTTGGGTGTGTCCAGAAGCCTTAGGCTTTCAGTTCTGAAAAGGTTCATTTCAAAAAATAATTATAATTTTTTAACATAAAACATTTTTACAAAAGCAAAATATAGCCTGCTGAAACTTCCCTCCCTAAACTTGTTTGACCAAGCTTCCCGAAGCTTCAGGGGGAGGTGCTGTGTTTTCTAGGCCCCATCAATGCCCTGCACACCCAGATTTCCTACTAGTAGTGCATTGTTGGACAACAGTAGTTAGTGAGATTTCTGGTGATTAACCTTTCCATACATTTCTGAAGATTAAACACTAGCTCTGACCTTTGTAGAAAGAAAAAGAGACGGACACAACCATTCTTTGAATCAACAGTAGATTTATTATTCCTCCAATGCACAGTAGTATTTAAGAATACAATTTTTAAATAGTTAACAAATTTCAAGAACTGAAAAACTGAACTGTGTTATAATCAGAAACACTAGAGATTAGTTTCAGGAATATCTCAGATATTCACTATATGGGTACTCCTGACTGTGAGAAGGCCAGATGGGAAGAAGATATGAGCAGAGCCCTGACTGTAGGTCAAAGGACCATTTGTGATCATTCCAGTCTCACTTAAACCAATGTGCAAACTATCTTTCCCAATTCAAAATAGAATTTTAAAGATTTCCATTTTCCTCCAGACCTCTGAATTGTTTAATTCCTAATGAGGCAGTGGGAAAAGTATGTATATTCAATGAACAGTTTTGTGGTTTTTTTTTGTTGTTGTTGTTGTTGGTGTTGTTTGTATATCTTTGCCTTTGGTTTAGGTCTAACTTACCAGAATAAAATGAGCTTTGATATAGCGTGACATACATTATTAAAGTACAAATTTATTTTTATATGAGTACATTAAATTAGAAAAAAATTCATATTGATCTCAAATCTCTATGAAGCAGAAAAATTACAGAGCTTAAAAGTATAGTCATGACAAAATACCCGGGATAGCTAGGTAGACTTGTGTAACCGCACAGCCAGCCAGTTAAAATGTTGAAAACAGATACTGGGGCCATATTAATTTCACATTCACATGCCAAACTGATCCTGATAGTCTACCAATGTATGCATGACAACAAATGAATACTTCATTTTTGTCACTATATTCATTGTCTACAATTAATGCTAGATCCATAGTCCTTAGCAATTAAGGATCTAGAAGCAATTTTTAAGAAATTCTCTACACAGGCTTTCTATTTACCTACAGATAAATATATGTCCTCGTTTCTATAATCGTAAGTCCTGAAGAAGTACAGTTACACATATTCATAAATTCTAATCTCTAATGCATGCCATTGATTTGTCCCTTTTTTCTTGTCAACAACCAGCTATTTCATATTTTATTAAAGTGCTCTCACTCTACATAAATGGAACTCTACAACTCAGCACACACATGCCTGTCCTCTGATCTGCCTCTCGTTATTTTGTGTCTTTCCTCTTCTCTTCTGTGGTCTTATTCTGTTGGTAGGCCTGAGTGTGACGGGTTTGTCTCCCCTCCTACACAGTAAAGAACCTAGGCTTTTTAACAATCATGTTCTTAGCTACTAAGAGGGCTTTTCCAATTCCATTTGAGTGCAAATCTCTGTTTCGTGTGGTTGAAGTTGCTCAAAGTCTGAATCTAGATCAATGGACTGGTAATATAATTTATAATTCTTGCTTAAGTGAAGATAAGAATCTGGTAAACAGGGTTATAAATCATTCTGTCAATCACCTGATTGTGGTTTTCCTTTCGCAGTTTTTGAAGACTCACGTGGAGGATGAATTTCCTTCTCTTTTTCTGGTTCAGGAGGAGGAGGGGGAGGAGTTGTCGGAGGTGGAGGCTCAGACAGGGAAGCTGCTGCTATTTTCTCAGCTTCTTTTTCTTCTAATTTCTTTTCAACTTCAAAGGGATGAAAAGAATGAACCTTCATTAGAGTCTCCAGACACTTATTATTTTCACTTCAACTAATAGAAACCTAAATTACTATAACATTATGCTTACTAATTTGAAGGTAATTCATGTATTGGAGCTCTTCCTTAAATCACCCAGTCCTTAAAGCTAAAAGTGTAAACCTTCTCTGCCAGTTTATATACGGCACTGCAGTATTTGCAAATTTTGGTATCCATGGAGTTCCTCAAACCAATCCCCTGCACATACCAAGAGATGGCCTTAGTGTTAACACTGCTAGACTCTGTGAATACATATTTAACACATGTAAATACTTTTAAAAACAAAAGAATTATTTTGGATAACCTTTTTTCTACTTAACAATATATTATGGTCACTTTTTCATGTATGCATGTATATGTAGAAGTGCCACATCTTTTTATTTTTAACTTAATCAGGATGTTTAATACAGAGCATTGAACTAGGTAGCTGTTTATTGTTTTAGTGATAAAGTAAATTTTTTGAAAGTAATTAACAGATTACTTTAAAATCTGGAATGTAAGTCTTTTTTTTTTTCTTTTTGGAGAGGTTTTCTCTATAGGGCACGTGCACTCGCCAGACAGACAGAGAGAGACGTAGAGACAGAAAGCGAGAAATCACTCCCCGGGGGGGATGGTCACGCTGCAATCCGTTCTCCTCCATTCTTCTCTCAGGATCTTGGGCACGCACGCACACACACCCGGTGTGAGTTTTATGCCACTGGGTCCGGGATGAGAACCGAGGTCGACTATGTGGGAGTCCAGCGACATAGCCATTATGCTAACTGCTGGTTCCCTTTTTTTTTTTTTTTATAGAGAGATTATTGCTATAGGACACATGTGCTCACTGGGAGACAGAAACAGAGAGACAGAAAGTGAAAAATCATCTCCCAGGGAAGATGGCCACTCTGCAATTCCTTCTCCTCCATTCTTTTCAGATTTGGGGCATGCACGCATATGTGCCTGGTATGAGTTATAAGCTGCCAGGTCTGGGACTTGAACCATAGTCAACTACGTGGGAGTCCAGCAACAGAACCTTTGCACTATCTGCTGGTCCCTAGAATGAAAATCCTAAACAAGTAGCAACTGAGTCTGTTAAAATTTAGTTAATAATTAGAATGTAAAGTTTTTAGGAAATGTTGAAGTTGAGTCTGATAGCTGACAAAAACAAATTGATTCTAACCTGTAGCACCACACCTTTGCATGTTTAGTTTTTACCTCCCAAGTATGAATGTAAGACCGAAATAAGTTTCCTCCCTCCTCTTGGCCTAGTTTCTGATTGTCAAATGACATGGTAAGCTTTTTTTTTCTTCTTCTTCTTTTTTTTTTTTTTTTGAGAAAGATTTTTGCTATAGGGCATGTGTGCTTGTGGGAGATAGAGACAGAAAATGAGAAATCACCCCCCCCACCCCCAGGGTGGATGCCAATCCCTTCTTCTCCATTCTCCTCCTGAGATTTTGGGCATGAATACACATATTCTCAGCATGTTTTAAGCTGCCTGGTCCAGGACTCAAACTGCAGTTGACTACATAAGACTCCAGTAAGCATTACACTATCTGCTAGTCCTGACATGGTTAGCTTCTTAAAGCTACATGGATTGGCTTTTGTTTTGTCCAAAAGCTTCATGTTAGCGGGTTTTTGGTCTAGTTTTAGTTTTTGAAGAAGGGGGTAGATATTTAAATAGGGGAGTTTTTCTTTCTAAGTGTGAGTTCCTGGATTCCCAGAGAGATTGTGGCTTATTCCTATGGACTATTTTGGTGTCAGTAACAATATATGATAGGTAGGTCAAAAATCTAATGGGAAGACGGCACTCTATCAAGGCAGTTCAAGAACCCTGCTATTATTAACTATGACCATTTTTTAATACCAAGAAACTTCACTGGCTAATATATTTAGGGATGATTGATTCATATAAGGGAAAGATTTGTTTCTCAAAGGTAAAAATCCCAGAGGAAGTCTGGTGCTAGATTGAATTTAAGATCCCTTTTATAGCAAATTTCAGTTAATACTATGAAAAGTTAGTAGACCATTATGACTGGTTGAATGAAGGAAGAAGAAGGAAAGAGTTCCAGATGGTTTAATGTGGGTGAAATAAGTCACATAAGTGGAATAATGAAAAGTTAATTATCAATACATTTATATCAAAAGGTAGATTTGGGGAAAATAAATTGCCTAGTGATTCTGTCTTAAAAGAAGAATTCAGATTCGGTTTCCCTATAATGCTAAAGGAGACAAACTGAAATCTTTAGTTTACTCTATGACATCCTTATTTTAAACAAGTTTTTATTTAAAAATATTTAATTGACAAGTAAAAATGATATACATCGGGGCATATAATGTGATTGACATCCTTACATTTTGCACTTCTTGTCCTTTTTTTATGTCGAGTATGACCTCTTAACATCAGTGAGATAACATCTTTACATTAGATTAATTTAAGTTAAATTAAAAGGAAGAGGGAAATATTTTAAAATATATGCAGTAAAAAGCAAAAAGCAGGTAGATCATACTTTTATAATAGATCGTATAAGCCAAATACAAGAGAGAATTTTGCGATACTTTTATTTCCTCCTAAATTCATTAAAAACAAAAGCTGCCTGGTTATAAACACAAAATATAAATCAAAATATAAATAATTATAATTACCTTTATTCTTTTTTTTTATTGTTTCAGTTGCAAAAATTTGTTTTACTTTTTGGCATAAAGTCTCTTTATCTACATCAGCATTGATTTTTATCAAAATATTTTCTGGCTCTGAAAACCATTTTTCCAATAAAGGCCAGTTGTCCAAGAAGCATATAATTCTAAAAAAAAAAATATATGAATACCTCTTACTGCTTGAAATATTTAAGTGACATTAAGCAGGAATTATCTGACATGCACAGTGAAAAAATAGGCTGATGATATAGTTGAATCTAAAAAGCAACTTTGATAACGCTACATGCAATGTCATATATATATCTACTTTAGATTAAGGAAGAAATTAGTTAATGACATCCAGACACACACACACACACACACACACACACACACACGCGTGTTTGTATGTGTGTATATATATGTGTGTGTATACACATTTGTTTTTTAAAGACATATGGAAGAGGGAAAGAAGATTTGAGAATGCCAGCAATTCCAAAAGCCTTTGGTAAAAGTTAGTTCTCTGAGTGAAAATCTAAGGACAAGTTTGTACTCATAGAAGGATAACTATTTTCATATGGCAGCTATAACTTGATCAACCAAGGCCATCTACTTATTTTTTAGATATAGAAGTCAAGGAGATCATTGAGTAAGAGTATAGCTCATTCAGGCTTGTTTGCTTTAATCAAAAGTATTCTTGGAATGGTTCTTGAAACTTTTTTTTAATCTTCCCAGAGAGTAGACAGTCTTAATGGAGCTCAAATTACTCTTGCCTGGCTTATTTCATTTTGTAGATCTCTCAGGGTTCCATAAAATTGTCTCATTTTGTCTAAATTTTCTTTTCCAATGGCAAATTGCAAACAACCAAAATAATGCCATGTAATTTCCTTGTTGCAAAATAGAAGTAGTTTCAGAACTGCACTCTGTAGTCCGATGCCCAACTTTCCAAGCTCTGCACTGGAATTTCCTTAAGGAGAGCTGAAGTAGGATTTCATATAATTTAACATTTAAGTTCATGTAACCATAAAGGGATTTGATTCTCTTCCCAAACTATAATGATTTGTGCTCTGAGTCTGAAAGCTAGCAAATAAACGTTTCACTCCACATGAAAACTATTTAGTTTTGTTATACCTGTAAGAAATTGAATGGTAGGGGGAACCAGCAGTTAGCGTAATGGCTATGTCGCTGGGCTCCCACGTAGTCTACCGCAGTTCGCGTCCTGGACCAGGTGGCTTAAAACTCATGCCGGGAGCGGGTGCGTACGTGCCCAAGATTCCAAGAGGAGAATGGAGGAGAAGGGATTGAGGCGTGACCATCCCCCCTGGGGGGTGATTTCTCACTTTCTGTCTCTATGTCTCTGTCTGGCAAGCGCACGCACCCTATAGCAAAAATCTCTCCAAAAAAAAATTTTTTTTTTGAATGGTAGGAAATATATTTGTTTTCTCAATTTATTGATTTTAAAGTAGTTAATTATCAATTCGTTCAAAGCGCAACAAACAAGAAGCAGAGCATTTTGTTTAAAACTAACCTATGCTGAATCTGGTCTCTTAAATTCTGATCCCCATCCTTATCTTGATTGTCAGCAGCTACACGTTGGCTGATATCTTCAAGAGCAATTTCATGTAAAAAATCTTTAGCTATGGAAGGAAAATTACTTAATTAGGAAATTTTCTAGGCAAAAGTTCCTACCTACAGTTAAAAAATATTAGTGCAAAATCCCCAATAAATATATTACTGTCCATATCTCTTTGGTCCAATATCTCTTAAAAATATTTAACAAGAGGTTGAAAGAGTATAGTTTTGTGGTAAAAAATATATCTTTTCTTTGTAATTGGATAAAACATATTAAAAAGGAGCTACAGTTTCAATGAAGAGGATCTCAGGATTGACTGTAAGCAAAAGAAAATGAAAAATGATGAGTTGTCATAGATAACAAACTTGAAAGAGAAAAATCAAGACTGTGATGTGAAAATTAAGAATGAAATAACAAAGTGGTCAGAAAATCAAATATGCATAAAAAGTATTTGTGGATATAATAAAATAACTTGGGTTTCTTTCTAGACTTTATGGTCTCCCTGTAGAATAGACTTAAAGGAATAAATCATGAGAGACCAAAAGCAAAAACAATCTTAAGAGCTCTGACTAAGTCCTATTTTGGATTAATGTTACAAAGCCCAGGATACTCATAAACTCAGAATAAATGAAAAATTACAAAGAAGAAAGCTGTGGACTAGCTTAAAAGAAATTAGAATTATTCAGTGTAAGAGAGCCTTGAAGGGCGAAATCAGTGTTAAAGAAAATGAAGACCCTCACAGGATATAGTTATCAGTTATTCTCCACTTACATTCATAATAGAATAAAATGAAATTGACTTTCAATACTGAGTAATGCTTTTAGGTTATTTATAAAACCCAAGGATTACTTACATAAGAATGGGTTATTGAAGAAAATTATGTGAGTTCTTAAGAGATGCTATCATGCATTATCTCATGGCAACATTTGTGCATGGATCGACATTCCTCTCTCTAAACCCCAACTGGACATTATCCACTTCCATTTCTCCCCACTTCTGGCACTTATTACCATAGCCATTGGATTTTGTGATCACCTTGAGTGGGTCCATTCTGTAGTCCTAAAGACTAGTCTACACTTCCACTGCAAACTCTCATCCTTCCAGCACTTCATGCAGCTGATGAATCTCTTCAGCATCATCTAGTCCCTAAAGTCATACATCTTTTTCTCCCAAATGTATTAGCCTTATTCTATCTTCATGTTATTCTTCAGTAAACCTATGCTTCATGGTTGAACACTTCATGTTCTCTCCTCCACCTAACAGTTTCATTTTCTGTGTCCCTCTGCTACATGTGCATTGATGATATTTATCTCTGTTTTGCAGGACTTACACTGGTAGGCATCCTTGAAGAAAAATATACAACTTTGTATTCTCTCTAATTCCCTAGACCAAAAAATTAGCCAAAGGCAGATCCCCTTTCTAAAGGAAAATACAGAGAAGATGAAAACTAAAAATATAGCAAATACTCTGACATCATGATTGTTTCCTTTCTTTAAAAGAGAAACTTCTTGTGAGTTATCTCTGCTCACACCTATCACTCATGCCTCAACGCATTGCAACCCATCCTTCTCCCCCACTCCATTGAAACAGCTCTCATTCGGTTCACTAAAAATGCCAAAGCCAATGGACTGTTACAGTTCATATCTTACTTTATTCTCTGTAACACGTATAGATAAAATTTAGCCACAATTCTAAAACGTTTTTATACTTATTAGATTATTTCATATTCACAATAATACTTGTGAAGTAGCCCCAAGATCCTAAAATTGGCCCTAAAATGCAGCTTATAAATGGTAGAGAAGATTAAATTCTAGACTCTGGACTTATTTCTAATTTTTATACTCATTAAACCTACTGCAAAGAAAGCATCCATGAATATACAGCTTGAAGACTTAATGAACTGAAAATAGCACCCAGATCAAAAAACAAACATGACCAACACTGGAAGATCCCTTATGTTTGTTTTCAGTCACCACTGACCACAAAAGGTAAGCTCCAGAGCCTGAATTAAAGACCTCTCTGTACCTCTCCCCATAATCATGAATACTGCCCTCTCAAGCTAACCAATGACCTGAGGCACTAGCAAAGAAAACAAGATAGCCACCCAACTCTTCCACTCTGATGCAACCTCTTACTCCCACAAAAGCTATTCCCTCTTCTGAGGACTTCTTGGTCTTCTACCTGTTGCCTTTGAGTGTGGACTCTCTCTCTCTCTCTCCCCATCCCTGGCTGGATTGATGCTCAGCCTTTTTAACCTACCTGGCTTTGGACACATTGCCCTTCCTTGTGAAGTCATTCTTCAGACTTTTCCGTGGGCCTCAAAAATCACAGGACAGCAAGCTGCATCTGATCCTAGTGATTGGGTTTCCACGTTCCAGGACTCCAGACCACTTACTGGTCTGGGAGGAAAGTGGATATCACTTTTGTTTTGAAAATCTGTTCCTTTTGCTTACGAGACACTGTTCTCCCTGGTTTTCTCTGTATCTAGATGCTACTTATAAACATTTCTTTCTTTGCTCTTCCCATTAAATTCTAATGTTTTGGGATGTCTTCAGGGACCTTTTATCATGCATTTGTCCTCCTAGATAATTTTCCTCACCTTTAAACTATTAACTTTGGTAAAAACCTTCCTCATGACATCCAGATAAATTTAAAGAACTGTTTTCTAAACAGAGCTAAATGTCCTATGGGTAATTCAAGCTCAATATGTGCTGTAAGAAACTAAGTGTTTCTTTCCATATTATCTAAGTAAACAGTATTATGATTCAAACAGGTATGCAAGTCAAAAACTTGAAGTTACCATTCTCATTGTGCACTTTCTCTAATCCCAAATTTGACTAAACTCTGTGGTATACCTCCCAAGTAACTTTGAACTTGACCAGTCCTCTCTGTCTTACATTGTATTTGTTATCTTTCAAATGGCAATAATTTTCTCACTCATTTAACTGCTTCCAATCTCACTCCCTTTCCAATTCATCCTCCAAAATACAGCCAGAATGATCATTATAAAAATCATATCTAACTACATTAAATCTAGTTTAAAATAATTCAGTGGTTTCACACAACTTCAGGATTAAGACTCAACAGCTTAGCTTGGTGCCAGGTATTTTATCTGGCCCCTGCCTTCTCTCCAGGTTTATTTCTGCCATTCCTCCATATCTTCCTGTTTTTCATCTCTGCTGAGTTCTTCTCACTGTTCTCTCATGAGCCTTCTGAGCCTTGCAAATGTTTTTCTTTCTTACTCCCCTCTCCCTTTTTTTGACCTGGCTAACTTTTCTCCAGGCTTGATACACTGATTATCATCCGTTTCTCCTCATATTACCTGTATACCACTGAAGGATGGGGGACTTGCCTTTCTTTTCTGTATTATCAGTGTCTTGCACATTATAAGTGTACATAAATTTTTACTGGTGGTGCCATTTTAGCTCTCATCACCTTATACCAGGGCTGGTCCAGTAGAACTTTCTCGGATGATGGGAACAGTCCATATTAATAATGTGAATTTAAAATAGCCATTAGCTACATGTATATATAAAATGTAGCCAGAAAATATGTGACTAAGAAACTGAACATTTTATTTATTAATTATAATTAAAAATCACAGGTAGCTAGAGCTCTACATTGGATGGCATAGATCTATTCTATAATCCTTATCTTTAATAATAACTATATCTGTATAATCATTTGCTTAAAAGTTAAAAATTAGAATTCTCAAATAAATGTAAAATGAATATGTTTCAAAGGCATCATTTAACCCAGCAATTAATGAGGGACACAATAAGATGTTGCAACAAGTGAGAATATGCACACAATTAGCCATATTTAAAGGCAACCAAGAATGTTAAAATAGGAGTAAAAGTGAAAAAAAAAAGCTTACTATTTTTAGAACAATGTAATATTTGGAATCATCTAATTTATTTATTTATTTTGAGAGGTTTTTTTCCTTAGGGTGTGTAAAAGTATAGGGATTAATGTGTTTCAATTAAATAATCCGTTCACATTCTATGGACAGGAATGATTTGCATTATAACCAGTTTCCTACAATTTATAGAGCTAAGAAGGGCTGAGTCAAAACCAGTGAAAAGCATAGATCCCTATAGCATCAGTTACCTCAAAGGGTCCGATAGCTAATGCTCAGCTTCCTATCAATAGGATAGCCAGAAATCTTGTTCATTTTAAAGTCTTCCACATTTTTTCCAAATGTATTTTTATGTGCTCATTATTATGTGCTAGATTCTATTTTTAGTATTTTACTCATATTTAAAAAATTCGCAATAATAAAATGAGTCATCCTACCTTACAGTCTGTAAAACTGAGGCTTAGAGCAATGAAATAACTTTCCCAAGGTCAAATACCTCATAAGTGGGAAAACCAGGATTCAAGTGTATATTTATACCTGTAAATAATTAATTTCTGGAATAAAGTGGTTTTTCACTTCAGGAAAAAAAAGGAGCTAAATAAACCATGAATTTTAGCAAGAGTATCCAACCCCACCATGTAAAGACTTCAACTAATACCTGCTCCTCAGAGTCATACACAATCCAAAAGAAATATATCACCCGATCCTTGCTTACAGTTCATATGTGGTTTATGATCATCTCAAGGGTGACCCAGCAGGATGTACTACATGGCCACAAACAGCTCCCCCAGGTTTGCAAGTCTCCAAAAAAGACACCTCTGTACCTGGGGAATTTCCAAGTTGATGGAAAGATTCAGTGAAATGCTTGCAACTGGCCTAGAATTCCCTACTAATTCCAGAGTTGGCCTGTAATGCTGAATGTAATAGTCAAAGCAAGAGGTAACTGTTTAGCTATTGTAGATTAATTCTCTGAGAGGATGAAATGAATTCTTTCTTATAATTGTAAGTGGACATATTCACTAATTCAAAGAATAAAAGAATTTTACTTGTTAAAAATAAGCGTAAAACTGTATTCTGCTTACCTATGATATCATTCAGGCGATTCAGTGAGGAAGTATCTGCAATATCTAATAATATCACAAAATCAAATGGTGAAGGGGGAATAGGTATTTCCTTAGAAGTCGTGGGATCAACAACCAGTGTGGATATTTGTGCTTTCTTTGCCTCCATCTCTAAGTGGTTTCTACTGTAGCCTCTGAGAGCATCCTCCAAGAGCTGTGCTTGGTTTAATGTCATTGGAAAACCATCAAGAATCCAGCCTTTATTCGCAGGAAATTCACTAAATTGAAAACAATTAACAATTAACAATTGAAATTGAACAATTAACAATTAAAAACAATTAACATTAACATTTTGATAGGCCCAAGTACTGTGAAAATAATAATGCAGGGAAATTTGCCTTTCTTTTCTTTTCATTCCATAGTAACCCCCTACTGCATGAATTTGATTACTTTATAGCTAAAATACTAGGTTTACAAATTGCTACCATCACTCCTTTGCCTAGAGCCTTTCTTTGGGTCTCTCTTGGCCTTCAAATTTATTCTAGAGTCCTCAACACAGCATTTAAATTAATATGTCACAACTTATTTTTCTATAACTTTTTATCTTACACAATTTTGAACCATTCTCTTTAAACAAACATAGCTCCTCACTGCTCTGAGTATGAATCACATTTTCTTTTTCTCTTTCTTTCTTTCTTTTTCTTTCTTCTTTCTTTCTTTTTCTTTCTTCTCTTTCTTTCTTCCTTCCTTCCTTCCTTCCTTTCTTTCTTTCTTTCTTTCTTTCTTTCTTTCTTTCTTTCTTTCTTTCTCCTTCCTTCCTTTTTTCTTTCTTTCTTTCTTTCTTTCTTTCTTTCTCTTTCTTTCTTCCTTCCTTCCTTCCTTCCTTCCTTCCTTTCTTTCTTTCTTTCTTTCTTTCTTTCTTTCTTTCTTTCTTTCTTTCTTTCTTTCTTTCTCCTTCCTTCCTTCCTTCCTTCCTTCCTTCCTTCCTTCCTTCCTTCCTTCCTACCTTCCTTCCTCTTTCTTTCTTTCCTTTTCTCTCTTTTTTTTCTTTTTTGTAATTGCCAGAGGGTACATGTGCTCATCAAGGGGAGACTGAGAGGGAGAAAGAGGAAGTACCCCTCCTCCCAGGTGGGGTGTGGTTAATGGCAAAATCCCATTTCTTTCATTTCTCCATTCTGTGGGAGATTTGGGGCATGCGTGCACACTTGCCTGGCATGTTTTCCAAGCCGCCAGGGCTGGGACTCAAACCAGGCTTGAACATCTGGGATCCAGCTTCTCTTACTGAATAGGCTATAACACCTGCTCTAAATTGCATTTTCTCTAGCTTGTGATAATAGCCTGTTTCTTCTTTGCACCTCACTTTTCTCATCTATGCAATGGGAAAACATATCTCAGAGGATGGTTGTGAGGATAAACTGAAATGCGCCACTTAAAAACTCAGCATAGAACTTGGCAGAACTAAGAATTATTATTTTAGTTTGCAATTCAAAAACAATATGAGGGAACCAGCAGTTAGCGTAATGGCTATGTCGCTGGACTCCCACGTAGTCGACCGCGGTTCGTGTCCTGGACCCGGTGGCTTAAAACTCACACCGGGCGCGTGTGCGTGCGTGCCCAAGATCCTGAGAGGAGAATGGAGGAGAAGGGATTGCGGCGTGACCATCCCCCCTGGGGGGTGATTTCTCGCTTTCTGTCTCTATGTCTCTCTCTGTCTGTCTGGCGAGCGCAGGCGCCCTACAGTGAAAATCTCTCAAAAAAAAAAAAAAAAACGTAAAAAAAAAAGCAAAAAACAATATGAAAAGGGCATAAACTTCAACTTCATTCTAATTTCTTAAAACGTGCAAAATTGATGCTTTGGCTTTTGGTTTGGAAGTCATGAGTTTGTTTCTTTCTCTGCTGTAACTCACATAAAACAATAGAATCCCCTTTTGAAGATCTCTCAGTCTGCTTTGGTGACTGGATATAATCCTTCTGACAGTGTGAGAAGAAAGGAGGGGAAAATTGAAGTTCAGAGATTATATTACTTGTTTAAAATCACAGAACTATAAATGACCCCAAATCAAGTGATCCATAGTATCAAGCTGCCCTCTGGTCACTGCCTATATTTTCCCCTTAAGGTTATTAATAGTAGGAAAAGACTACATTTTGCTTTTAGTTCTTGTTCAGCTCAGTAAAGCACTCTACATAAAACGGATTTGTTGACCCATTGATGTAAGGTGAAGTTTCCTTGAGTGTCTTGCCTGGTCTGGGTGACCCCTTACCCCACCCACAGTCTTAGGAGCCACTTCAGAGACAGGAGGAGGTCAGGGTCACACTTATTCACACTTATTCAGCAGTTTTGTGAGGACACCAGATGATGGGGACCTAGAAGACCCAAACTTGGGCTCAGACTATATCATTAACCAGATACCTAACTGGACCCCCTTACTGAATGACATGTGCCTCACTCTCCTCATTGAAAAGAGTAATTTTCAGATTAGATAAAAGTATTTCAAACTGATGACGATCCTCTGGAGGTATTTAGGGGCAATGGGGATGATGGTGGTGGTGGGAGGCTAATGGAGTTTTGACACTGGGGTGTAGAGACTCCAACTCTTGGGACCAGCAGTTAGCGTAATGGCTATATCGCTGGACTCCCACGTAGTCGACTGCGATTCGAGTCCCAGACCTGGTGGCTTAAAACTCACACCGGGCGCGTGTGCGTGTGTGCCCAAGATCCCGAGAGGAGAATGGAGGAGAAGGGATTGCAGCATGGCCATCCCCCCTGGGAGGTGATTTCTCGCTTTCTATCTCTCTGTCTCTCTCTGTCTGTCTGGTGAGCACACACGCCCTATAGCAAAAACCTCTCAAAAAAAAAAAAAAAAAGAGACTCTGACTCTACTGAAATCTGAGTGAAAATCTGCTTTATAGCTGACGCTTTGGGCATTCATTTTTCTTTGAACAAAGAATCCCATGACGAAAAGTGCTTTACACCAGTTCTGAGAAATGCTGGAACTGTTAGAACAAGGCTCTTTCCAGCTCCTAAGCCAGCAGCCCTGTGGTCCGATTTCTAGATACATCATAATTGAGAAGCAACTTAAATATTTAATGTAGTTAAGAAAACATTAAGGGGAGTCCATTTCAGAGGCAGAAACGTCTTAAAAACCCTCCTCTCTCATCTCTTTTATTCCTAATGTTTCCCACAGGTCACCACTACCCAATTTTATCTCCTCACCACTCTAAACTCTTCATTACTCTTTTACAGGAGTTCTTTTCCCTCACTTTTTTTTGTCCATCCTGGTTGGCCTGTTTCTTTATTATGTAGACCAGTTGAGCCTACATGGCTTCTTTTAGTTTTTCCATTTTCAGCATTACTAAGGAGAGTTGAGTGTCCTTTATCCTTAGTAAGGAGAATGGGAGAGATTTAAAAATTATGGCTTACATTGTCTTTATTTCTTCTTCCTTAAAGTTTATTTCCTTCACAAGTGAGAGAGAGGGAGAGAGAAGCACCCTCAAAAAAGTCCTGTGCTGTGATCCACCCCCAGCTTCGTCTAGCCCTGGATCATGGGCAATGTATACCTGGCATTTCAGGGTGGTTTCTGGACATGAACCCAGAACTTTTCCATGTGGCTCAGCCTTGCTGAGCACTGTGTTACCAGTGAGCCACCTCCTGGCTCCTGACTTCTTTCTTTACCCCACCACTCGTAATTTCTGTGCTGTGTACACATCTGCTGTTCCTTGCCTGGCACCCTCAATTCTGTTATTGCCTTCCTGTTCTAGGACTGTTCACTCTTGCTTCTTCTTTTGGAAAATAAAACAAGGAAGTGCAGTGGCCTGACCACATAGTCTTTTTTCTCATAAATCTGTCCCGTGACTTTTCTAATAATCTGATTTCTCCTTGAATTCTCCAGTGTGTTAATATAGCCTGACCCGGATGAAAGAAATGCAGGATGGTTGGAGAAGAAGTGACATATAGGAATGAAAATCACGAAATAAATCTATCTTTGCCTTACTAGATATTTTCTTATGTAGGTAATGAACATTCATTTAATATTAAAACAAAAACTATTTCTATATTATTTTTATATTGATATAGTTTTGTGTGATAAAAGATATAGTAAATAGACCAAAGAAAGAAAGATGGAATACCTACTTGATAGCATTTACCAAGATGTTAACCAGCAATAGGTCAGGAATGCTCTTTCCTTTCTTCAGCAACTGTTCTGACTTTGCACCAAGCTGAGCACGCACCGTGAGCTATGAAAATAAAAGATGAATGGAAGAATCCAACTCATTTAAAAGCCAGGTTTCAGATGTAATGAGGGAAAAATGGTTCATGGTCATGTTTTCTGATGAGGACTGATCATTTAGTACAATTCTGGAGCTAGAGAAAAATTTAAGGAAAATTTGTATGCTGGTTTGAGGTTCTTCCTCTAGAGCTTCATCCTCCCAAGATCTTCCTCTTTAACTTTCAGCTGCTCTGGGATTCCCAACCTTCATCCTATGATACCTTAAATGAGAAAGAGTCATGCTTCTACATGAGTTCCAGTCACTCATGCCATCCAGGCTAGGGTGTACTCTTGGGGAAAACCTGCATAAACATGGCTTCTGTCCCATGATGTTCTCTTCTTTCAGTGCTCAAATTCCACATATTTTCTGCCCCCCCCCCTTTTCCTACTTGCCTGTTTGCTGCTCTGCTTTTTTGTTCTTCTTTTGGTCTTCAAATATTTAGCTCTTTTCTCTTTTCTTTTCTTTTCTTTTTTTCTTTTCTTTTCTCTTCTTTTCAACATTTTAAATTGTTAAACTGTAGAAGAGTTAGTCCCATACAATCTACTCCACATTACTAGGACAGGAACGTCCTCAGAATTTATTTCTTAACTCACCATCAAGGTGAGTATTATTCACAGTCATATCTCTACTCAAACCCTGTAAAAGCTCACCCTTTTATTGTAAATATCCTAGTAATTGCCTATAATCCCCTTACCTGAGCTGATTCTTCTCCCTTCTTGCTTATGTCTCTAACCTCATCCCTCCCTACTCGCCCATCCTGCTAGCCAGGCATCCTTATGCATCACAGCTATCATCCAACATCGAGCTATAGTTTCACTGCCCGTAATACTTCCACAGACCCAGCTGGCTGACTCTCTCACCCACTTTAATCACTTTATCCAGAAGGCCTACTCCATTCAACACTACAACCTTCTGTCTTTTCCTGGCCCATGGCCTGCGCTCCTGGTCCCTCTTGGTCCACTTTACTTTTGCTTTTCTCTTGGCACTTACTATTCATATACTTATGAGTTTGTGGTTTATTATCTGTCTCCTTCTATTGGAATGTAAATCCATAAGGGCAGAGAACTCTGTCTTTTTTGTTTAGTGATAGGTCTGAATTAAAACAGTATATAGAATAGGGCCAGCAGATGGCATAGTAGTTATGTCACTGGACTCCCAGATGGCCCTCTGCCATTCAAATCCCAGACCCTGTGGCTTAAAACTCACACTGGGCACATGTGCATGCATACCTAAGATGCCCGGAGGAGAATGGAGAGGAGAAGGGATTGCAACATGGCCATTCTCCCAGGACGTGATTTCTTGCTTTCTGTCTCTCTGTCTCTGGTGAGCACACATGCCCTATAGCAAAATGCTCTCCAAAAACAAAACAAAAAGAAACAGTATACGGGATAAAGTGTGGTCATTGAATTGAATTGAATATGGAATTCGAAGAATTTGTAAATCAATAAATGTAACTATAAAAATATAGTCTTTCAGGGTTGGCAGGTTGCGTGGTGGTTAAGGGTGCTGGGCTCCCACATGGCGAACCATGGTTCGAGTCCAGGATCTGGCAGCTTGCTTTCTCTCTTTCTCTCTCTCTCACTCTGTCCCTCTCTGGTCATATTAAAATAAATGAATAAATAAATAAAGTTAAATAAAATAATTCTTTAAAAAATAGCCTTTCTGCTAATTTATATTTCAAAGATATAGAATTAAAAATTGCAAGTCCCTTTTTATTGCTTTTTCTAAACCCATTTCCTTCCCTATCAGTCATCATATTTATAGTTTGGTGTATGTCCTCCCATTTTTTTTTGATATCTATAAGCAGTTTTGAAATCTAAACTATTATAAAATTGTTTTCCATGATGAAATGCATAATAAAAGTAAGCAAATGTAATGAAAACAGTAAGTGAAATTCTGCTTGGTTAATCTGGTCATTCTACTTGATAATAAAAAAATACTTCCATATATAGTAAAGCAAGATTATTTATAGACACATTAGTTTTCATGAGAAACAATAGTGAGTGAATTATAAATATCTTTTCATGGATTAATTAAAAACTCTGTAATCATTGACAAGATTAAAGGTACATTCTGGAAAAAATATTAAAAGTAAAGAGAGTATGAAAGAAAATACAAGTCGTAAACTAAGTGGTTAAAAAAAGTGCACAAAAATAAGGTAGACATAAATCTAAAATTTAGAAAGCATGTGCTTACTTTCTTATATGGAAAACAGAATGATAATTTCCACAACTTTAGGTATAAATTAGATTAGATAATAATTTTGTACCTAATTTACTATGTTTTAAAATTTTTTAGTTTATTTCCTTTGAGAGAAAGAGATAAAGACAGGCACTCTTGACATGGTCTTCATGCCACCATCCTTCCCCAGGCCAGGATCATGGGTGCACCATGGGCATCCTTGGCATGCTCAGGTAGACCCAAGACAGGAACCTGCAGCCTTCTACCACCTTTACAAAGCAGTATCTCCACTGTCTGTGCATTGATGGCTGGGTCTCAGATTTAATTTAAAACCCAAGAAGAGCAATAAAAACTCTGTTTCATTCCATTTGAAGACACACCAAAAGGTCATGCACGAATCATGACACATTTTAATATACTGACAGACAAAATTAAATTATCATACTTACATCAGAGAAACTATCACTGAATTTGACTTCTTCTGCTTTTGGTATTTCATTAGTATCAGTACCTAGCAATAGGAAAAGTTATGAGAACAAATTTCCAGTGTTTACAACTAACAACCCTTGTGGATATGTGACCCTCTGTGGTTCTGAACTTAAGGATTATCAAATCTAGCTATGCTTGAGATACTCTGAGAAATAAAATGGTCATTCAGCATGGCTTTTATCTTCCTTACACAATGTTAAGTTCCTGGCCACTTTGAGGGCTGGTATTTCCCTTCCTTCCTTCCTTCCTTCCTTTCTTCTTTCCTTCTTTCCATATGGCCTGAGCTCTCATATGCCAGTATCATTAAAAATGCCTTAATACAGTTTGAGTCTAATTTTCCAAGCCAAGCCAAATTTTTCAAGAAACATTGTTAAAATATTATTATTTGCCATAGAGCATGTGTGCTTGCCAGAGAGAGAGAGAAAGCACACTCCAATGGGGTGTGGTCATGTTGCAACCCCTTTTTCTCCACTTCTCCATCCTTTCAGGATTTGGGGCATGCATGCACATGTGCCTGGCATGTTTTCAAGCCTCTGAGTCCAAGATTTGAATTGAATGATCAACAATATGGGATCTGGCTTCCTTAACTACCAGGCTATGGGCTAGTCCACAAAAAAATAATTTATAGAACTTGTATTTTCCTGGATTATTAAGTTATACATAATAAGCATGTCTATAAGTGTACAAATCTAGAAGTCAGAGTGGTTTTAGTTAAATTCTACAATTTAGTTTTCAGAGTTTGTTTATAATTAATTACATCTATAGAATGAAATATATCATAAGATACTTATGAGTGTTTGAAAAAACAGTTAAAATAATCTCTTAAGAAACAAATAACTGGAATAAAGGATAGATAATATTTAAAAAATGGAAAACCAAATTGCTCTAGGAGATTTGTGTGCTCATAGAAAATCTATATATTGTTCAATGGTGATGGGAATAATGATGATGATATAGGAGAATCCGAGCTTCATGCTAGAATCTGAGGAAACTCTTTAGTATGACAAAGCCTTCATCAGCACAGATAAAAATGATATTTAATACTTCAAATTACTTTCTTTCAATGGTCTGCCAAAGATCTGAAGTACTTAAGCCCTGATCCCAAGAGAGATAAAACAATTCCAAGAGAGATAACTTGTTCGGTTTGGACAGTTTGCTTGTGTCGGACTTGTGCAAGGTTGAGAATACAAGTAGGTTTAAGGGAACCAGCAGTTAGCGTAATGGCTATGTCACTGGACTCCCACACAGTCAACCACGGTTCGCGTCCTGGACCCTGTGGCTTAGAACTCACGCCAGGCGCATGTGCGTGCGTGCCCAAGATCCCAAGAGGAGAACGGAGGAGAAGGGATTGCGGCGTGACCATCCCCTCTAGGGGGTGATTTCTCGCTTTCTGTCTCTATGTCTCTCTCTGTCTGTCTGGTGAGTGCATGCGCCCTATAGAGAAAAAAACCTCTCAAAAAAAAAAAAAAAGAATACAAGTAGGTTTAAGAGATCAGATCATATAACTTCCCTTAATAAGAGGAACAAAGACAGAAAGACCCTATACTACTCAGACATAGATGACAAAGGTGGGAAGAAACAATAAAAATACTGCCTCCTTGCAAAGCCAGCAAGAGTAATGATGATTTCTCCTGGTTGTTTTAGTAACAGAAGCAAAATTGACCAATTCGTTTAAGGAAGAGAGTAAAAGAATTCCCTTATAATTTTCGTCTTTTATCCCCATTTGTGGACAAGGGTTACCTTGCTCTCTCTGTCAAACGACTACGTAGACAATTATGTAAATTTCTCTTGTATTCTGTTTCTTTCTCTGAAAGCGCATTTGAGCTAACACGCATGCTGTTCTTGCTGTTGATCTATCTAATGTAAAGGACAGGTAACTTGTTTTGCTGTCTTACTCATTAAACATAGTTTTACCTTCTGTTTCTGGCAATGCTTCACTTGGAACTGGGCCAGCTGAAAATACATTGTGCAGATCCTTTGAAAAGAAGACACACATATATACAGAGCAATTTTAACATTTATATATATACATATATGTATGTGTTTATCACACATACATATATGTATATATATATAATGTGTGTGTGTAATTAAAAAGAAAACCTTGCCAGAGGGCATGTACCCTCACATGAAAGACAGAAAGAAAGGGGAAGAAGAAAGCACCCCCTCATGGGGAATGGTTATGCTTCAGCCTCTTTCATTTCTTCCTCTTTCAGGATTTTGGGCACACACATGTGCATAGCATGTTTTTCAAGTCACATGGTCCAGGACTCAACTACACAGTCAGCCATGTGGGATCCAGCCACTTTAAGCACCACACAGCAGGCTGGCCTAACATTTCTATGTTTTAATAGCCTTCCTAACTTTACTTCTATAAGTAAGAATTTGAGAACATATATACTATTTTATCTATAACATTAATGATATTAAAGAAGACTGAAATGTCAGTCCTAAATAATTTCCAGACACAAACAAAAGTTGATAATAATTGCACTTATAGAAACACACAGTAACCCATAGCGTAATCTGTTTTTTGAATGGCCTTCAAATTACTATGTAAAATACAAGCAACTTCTATTTTAAAAATACAATAGAATCTGAGAAAAAGGTAGAGTTTCTGAAAACCATCTTTAAAAGAACAATCCTAGGGGTGCCAGTTATAACCACTAACTATTCTACTAATTAAAATGGAAAGAGTACTGCAACATGAAGAGATAACCACAATATGAAAACTTTTTCCAGTTATTTTCAGAATTCATAGCTAAATGGTATTTATTTTGCAACCCATACAAATATTCTGGACTAATTTTTCTGCAAATTTATTCAGTTGCAGACTGCATAAAACAGGGAAAAGAGTACTGTACATAGAATTGGGAACCCCAATCACAGTAGCCATCAGTAAGCCTCTTACCCTGAGCAAACCAATTCATTGCTTAAGGTCTCTATTGTCTTCTCTATAAAATAAGGGAGCTGGGCCACATCAAAGAATCAAAACCATAATGAGATAACACCTAACCCCAGAGAAACGGCTAATATTAAAAAATAAAGAATGTTAAGTGCTGGCAAAGGTGCAGTGAAAAAGGAACTCGCCTACACTTTCAATGGGAATGTAAATTAGTACAGTCATTGTGGAGAACAATATGGAGGTTCTTCAAAGACCTACAAATAGAACTACCATGTGATCTGGCAATTCCACTCCTGTATCTATCCAAAGGACAGGAATACACTCTGTCAGAAAAACACTAGCTCATGCATGTTTATTGTTGCGTTATTTACAATCGTTAAGCATAGAATCAACACAAATGTCCAAGAACAGATAACAGATTGAAAAAGTATGGCATATATATACTACGGAATGCTACTTAGCCATTAAAAGAAAGAGAACTTAGAGTTTGATAGAAAGTGGGTGAACATGGAAGATCTAATGCTAAGTGAAGAAAGAGAGGCATTGCATGTCCTGACTTAATATATATCTAATGTCTGCACTCCATGGCAGAAGTGAAAGATTAGAAGGCATAAAGGCATGCGTAACAACTGTTGACACCAGGGAAAAAAAAATAAATGTAAGAAAAAAAGATGTTCAAGGTAGGGATATATTCTCTTATCCATACCCTCATCCCCCAAACCTTCATGGAATAATGTAAGGAGACAGGATACTGCTAGGAACAAGATACAAATAAATGAAGGGAATGTGACACAGGTAATTTGTGCCTGTGAGAATCTCCCCAGCCGTCCAGTTTGTGATCTAGATCAGGGGTTAGTCTTCCTATGGCCTATGGGCCAAATTTGGCTGGATTACTATTTTTATGCAGTTCTTAGCCATCACTTAGGCAGCTGAACACTGTGAGACTGGAGACCAAGTCAGGCATCCATTCCTGTCCCTGCTGGGATCAACTTCTGCTTTGACCACTCTCCAGGGTCATCAATGGTCTCCAACTGCACACTGGAGACCCCAATATTGGCACCTTCCAGCCAGTGTGAATGGTAGAAATTTAGTTTGGGAGTTTCCCCAACACACACATACCACCTCCCAACCCCTGCAATTTAGTCACTCACCCATCCCTACTTACCAGCCAGTGGTTCTTTCCTCAGGAGAATGCCTCCAGCTGGTGACGACTAAGCACAGTGAGCCCACCACACTGAGCAGTACACCCAGGACAACTGGTGTGTGTGTATTCGTGTGCATGGGGTGGAGGGGGAGGGATTATCTCTTTATTTAAACATCCACAAAATCATGATTTTTCTTCTTGGGTCATAAAACTGAAAACATTTACTCTTGGATCATTACAGGAAATAAGTGCAATCTAGAAAGATATTTTAGATTTTACCCAGATTCAAATCTCTAGTGTGCAGAAAAGAGAAGTAGAATCACACTTGCCTGGCTTTCTTTGTTGCCCTCTTGAGGAGCTGGCAGAGTTTCTCCACCTTTCTCAACTGGTAGGGCCTCACTGACTTTTTCATTGTCATGAAATGCTTGGATGGCTTCTTGGACAAGAGCGTCAATAGAAAGTATCTGAATAGGAAAGTCTAAAGTGTAAAAGCAATTTTATAAATAACTTTTCATTTGGGAAATTCACTTTATTGTTCTTGTGTGTTGGCTTCAGCTTATAACACTGTCTTTGGGGCTCCCTGGAACTGTCTTTTAGGTCAAGTTTCTTTTTATTATTGTGGTCAAATTCACAAAACATAAAATAACATTATAATCACTTTTCCAACAGGGAACCCCACACTCTTTAGGCTGTCTCTCCCTAGTGCGCTACTCCTATTCCTAGATACCATTAACTTGATTTTGGTTGCCATGAATTTACCTATTCTAGATATTTTATACAAATGAAGACATGCATTATGTGACGTTTTATATCTGGCTTCTTTCACTTACAATAATGTTGTAAAATTTACCCATGTTGGACCTACATATCAGTACTTCACTCATTTTTACAGCTGAATAATTAAAGCATGGACAGTAAGTTACATGATTTTAAAAAGTTTGATGACGGATATTTCCCAATATATTAGCAAAGGCTCCTGTTTGTTTTCAATAGACATTTGGAGTGATAGGATAAATAGGATCCAATAAGGTAAGAAAAAAAGGAATTTTACCTTTCTGTAGAGACTTTAAAATAGTAGTTTTTCCACTAAATGTTTTTCCCAGTAAGCATCCTTTAATGGCAAACGAAGGAAATTCAGACACTGTTGATTCAACTCGGAGAGGAAGAGACTTCTCAACTAGTCTGTAAAGCACATGGCCCAGTATGCTATTGTTGGAGGGTGGTACGTTATCAATCATCTCTTCTGGTAAGGCCCATTCCCCAACCATGTTCTGCAAAAGTAAGGATCAAATGAGCAAAAGAAAAATATTCTTAAATGTGGAATATAGGCATATAAGAAATTTGAATATTAAAATAAGTCTAAATTAAGCAAATAATAGCAAATCAATACTTTAATGTCAATTAATTATATTACATACATAAATAACAATATCAATAATACTTTCATGTTAGAAAAATGAGCTTCCTTCATAAAAGTAAAATGAAAATTTAGTTTATTAAAGTAGGTATATTGAGGTAATAGAGACATATTGCAATTAAGACATTTGTTTATGTTATCAATAGGCAGATAAAAAACAATAATAGTTTATCTGCTATCTATGCAAATACTACACTTAGTTTAAGATATTTTAAAGTAAGAAATAGAAAAAAAATTTTATGCCTAATATAGTGTTCTGCAAGTCTATGTTTGACTCCCTCCTTTCTGAATAATCAAACGATTAGTGGAAGATGAAAAAACAAAACAAAACTATGGACAACATTCTCTCACCTCATGTAATAAAGCATCTAGAAAATAATTTTAGAAAGACAAACATGTATTTAAAATGAAAAGGACACCTCTGACTAACTCCTAGACTAAAAAGGAAATTAAAATTATAGATCATGGAAAGATCGCTAAAACAATAGGTTTATTAAAAATATGGGATGCAGTCAAACTGAACTCAGGGAAAAGTGCATGCCCTCTTTGCCTAAAATGTCATGATCGAAAAGAAAAAAGAAAAAAATTAAATTAAGCATTAACATAGGAGAAAAAAGGTAACTTTAAACTAAATGATGAACTGGTCCCATAGTCTAATGGTAAAGGGAACCAGATCCCACATGGTAGACCACGGTTTGAATCTTGACCATAGTGGTTTGGAACACACACAAGTTGCTGTGAGTGCGTGCCTAAAAATGAAAGTTAGTAAATGACTAAGGAAAACCTACTGAAATTACTTTTTATTTATTTTCGAACTTATCCATACTGATAATAACGATGAACTACTACTCATTAAGTACACAGGTGAAGAATAGCAAGTATCAATGTTGCAATATAACAGAAATACGGAAAGAGTTTTGGAGACTTCAACATCTTTAAGAAAATACTGGGGTCAGCCAGGTGACGTGGTGGTTAAATTGGCTGGATCCCAGATAGCCAGCTGGTGGTTTGACTTCCAGACCCAGTGGCTTGGAAAACATGCCAGGCCCAAAATTCCAAGAGGTAAATGCAAGAGAAGCAATTTCAGCATGGCATCTCCCTGGGGGAGCTTTCTCACTCTCTCTGTCTGTTATGGTAAGCTCAGCTCATTCACCCTCAAGCAAATTTTAAAACAGAAAATATTACATACAATGCTACCATAGTAAATCTAAATTATTACTGTTTGGTAATAAATAATATCTTAAGAATGTGAAAATGATTAAAATTAATTTAAATAGAATATACATATATATTTTTGAGAGGTTTTTGCTATAGGATACATGCTCTCACCAGAAAGGCGAGAGAGATAGAGAGACAGAAAGCAAGAAATCACCCACTAGGGAGATGGCCACGCCGCAATCCCTTATCCTCCATTCTCCTCTTGGGATTTTGGGCATGCACGCACACATGCCCAGCGTGGTTTAAGCCACTGGGTCCAGGACTATGAACCGAGGTCGACTACATGGGAGTTCAACAATGTAGCTATTACACTAACTGCTGGTCCCTAAATACAATATTTTAAAAGATAAAAGCCATGAAAGAAATAGAGAAATTATCAGGGAACTATACCTAGGAAACTTGAAGACATTGTACAGAATTTTCATTCCTTTATTAAATAGAAATTGAAATATTGTTTAAAGCCTTTTAGACTGTGAAAGAAGATAGCTTTCCAATTAAACAAGACTAATATAATCCTTACACTAGAAATGTAGCAAGGATAATTGACAAAAACAGCATGCAAAAAGAAAACTACAAGTCATTCTCCCTTGAGATTATTTGCAAAATATGCTATTAAAGTCACCATGTATTAACAGATAATAAATATCCTAACTGACATTGCATACACACTTATTAAATTATTGCTGTTATTTTATTGTAATATCATTTTCACGATCAGAGAATCAAGTGATTCTCACACAATTCTTGCATAAGCCTTATTTTCTTTCCAATTTTGTACAAGAAAAACACAAGTAATTTAAACTCTGTAGTTTAAATTACTTTCCAAGGCCACAATAAATAATAATAGTAAAACCTAGATTGGAACAAGGAAGTCAGATTTCAGAACTTGTGTTCATAATACACATACAAGGTTGAAATTGTTTCACCATTATTGAAGAAGAGTTATTTCATGAGTACAAGGCAAGTTAAATATTAGAAAACCTGTTCTTGTATACCACATTAATAGTTTGAAATAAAAAAATAGAAACATATATTCATTTTGATCAACAAACAACTGATAAAATTCAAAATTTATTTCTGATTTAAAAAATACAGGTCAAGAGGCCAGCAGATGGTGTAGTGGTTATGTTACTGAACTCCCACATGGTTGACCACAGTTCAAATCCCAGACCCTGTGGCTTGAAATTCACACCAGGCATGTCTGTGGTGCATTCCCAAGATCCCAGGAGGGGAATGGGGGAAAAGGGATTGTGGCATGGCCATCCCTGGTGGGGGATGACTTCTCACTTTCCCTCTCACAGTCTCTGTCTCTCTCTCTCTCTTTTTTTTTTTTTTTTTTGTGAGGTTTTCACTTTAGCCCCTCCCTCTTTTTTTTTTTTTTTTGAGAGGTTTTCGCTATAGGGCGTGTGCGGTCGCCAAACAGACAGAGAGAGACAGAGAAACAGAAAGCGAGAAATCACCCCCCAGGGAGGATGGTCATGCCACAATCCCTTCTCCTCCATTCTCCTCTCGGGATCTTGGGCACGCACGCACACGCGCACGGCATGAGTTCTAAGCCACCGGGTCTGCGACGCGAGCTGCGGTCGACTACGTGGGAATCCAGCGACATAGCCATTATGCTAACTGCTGGTTCCCAGTCTCTGTCTCTCTTTATCTCTCTCTCTCTGTTGAGTGTGGATGCCCTAAAGCAAAGCAAAACCTCCCCCCCAAAAAGTACAAGTCAAATTAAAACAAAACAAATCTTTTAATAAGTTGTGAACTAAAGATGACTTCTCTGACAGTATCTGCACCAGTATGTAGTGGTGAACCAAAATGAACTGCATATTTTTCATTAAAGGCAGAGACAAGAAAAAGATGCTCACCATTAACATTGTCAGTCACATTATTCTGGAAGTTATAGCCAGTGCAACAAAATATTTATTTTAATTTGTCCAGAGAGAGAGAGAGAAAGTTAGGAAGTAAGTTGCCAGGTCTGGGGCTTGAACCACGTTCAGCCATGTGGGAGTCCAATGCCCTTAACCCATGCCACCTGCTGGCCCTAGTACATATAAATTATTTATCAAACTATTCAAACTTCGAAAATCCTCAGTGTATTACTTTAGTAGTGCAGAAATGTCAAATCATACACAATACTAGAATATTAAAAGTGATGAAATACAAGGTATATTAAGCTTATTTAATCATGTAAATCTCCAAATCCTATCGAAGAGTATCAGTTCTATTAGTACTTCCTCTATTATGTCACTCTATTCAGAATCAACTTAGTCTTCTTGGTTTGAAAAATAGTGACAGAAAAGCAAGAGCAATACCCACTGGGAAAAAAAAGATGAACTTCTTCATCAACAAACATATAGACTCATAAAAGTCAAAAAGGGGAAAAAAATGAAATACAAAGTACATTACATTTCTTTAAGAAACACCAACTAATTTTAGCTAGTCTGGATTGTCTTAAATCAGTTCTTTCTTTTTCTTTTTTTTTTTTCCTAGGAAGAAGATATGTGTCTTTGTCTTGATCATATGTATATAATTTAGCTCAAGTTTTCTAACCATTTACTGGAGGGATTTCATTTGAAAAGCTCTACTTTTTAAATTATTGGCCAATATGAATCACTAATTTGAATGACGTTTTTCCCTTTTCTGTCCTTTTTCCATATAAATATATTCATGATAGAGGGCTTGTATATGCATGAGAGATAAGCCCCTCAACCAGGTTCTATTAGGCCATGGTCTCCTTCTCTGAGTCCTCTAGTTTGTCAAGCTCTTGGGCACTCAAGCATTTGCCCACACAGGTCAACCGGGCAAGAGAGCTGGCTCCCAGCACTGTGCTTCGGTATGCCACTGACTGTGCTGCCAGGCTCGTCCTGAATGGCACTTTTTTTATGCCTACCATGACCAAATAGATGATGTATGGTTAATAAATACTACTGTTACTAAATAGTACTCAGTAATACTACCCTATCACTAAGTAACAAATATTACAGTTTTAAACATTAACTTTTGACTAATTGTACAAACAGTATAAATAGTACAAATTTGTTGACTAATATCAACTAATTGGGTCTACCTGTGGAGCTATTTTTATAAATACACTGAAGTAAGAAAACCTAGCATTAATTATTGATCACTTTATTAGTAGGTCATGTTTGATAATAGTTCAGTAATTATGCCATGTCATGTATGAATAAATACATGTGCATGTTCTTGCCCTTTCCTTTATCAGTATCTTTTTATATCCAATATATGATCAAAAAATGCTTGATCAGAACATAAGTTGTCAAATTTTGTGAGTGCTATGGATAACTTATCTGGTTTGGTGCCAGAATTTCTGATACAAGAACACTGAAGACAAGAAAAATAGTTTTTGAAACAAACAAACAAAAGTAACCCCAACATATTCATAGTAGGTTCTTTAAAACTGGTGACATTTATTAAAATATAAATGTAATTACGTTTGACTCTCACTTCTATACTCACTACCTTTATTTGTAAAAATTATTTCATTTTAGCTCAGTGCCTTTGGTTTTTAGAGTAGTTCTGTACATGATAATTATTCTTAGGCTTTTGTAACAGTTCTGCACATAATAATTATTTTTGTGTTTTTCAAAATTAGCTAAATACTGAATGGATTTGTATGAT